CATATTGCACATTGAAATATATTTCCCAGATTGCCTTAGCGCATGCTAATGAAAATGAGGAATAAGGGCTTGAAAGAAGCAGCTGTTTAAAATTTTCTTCAATCGCAGAAAAATCAACTTCTTAATTACTGATAATTTAGCATCAAAATGACCACTAACCCCTTTCTCCCACCAGACCCTCCTGCGAGGGGAGTTCTGCTTCCAGGCTCTCAGGCAAAACTTCTTAGCAGTGCAGCGTTTCACCACATTTCTTTAGCTTTTCTGGAATTAATTAGGATTCAAATAAAGCTGGAAAAAGGAGGATCTTTTCTGAAGGTGCCTTCTTGCAGACCCTTGAGTCAAGCAGGCAGGGCAGATAGTGCTACAGCTCCGGCCCAGCCAATTGCTGCAGTGCTTTTATATTTCCACAGCACCTTTCACAATAAGAGGTTCTAAAAACTTCCGTGAGTGGATTTATAGATGCAGACAGCCTCAACTGTCACACAGTCATCCTGCATCAAATTAAAAGGAGCCACTGCTTGCAGGATGCCATGGCACAGAGCTCTGTGTGGCTCACGGTAGTCCTCATGGGCAGCTGGTCCCAAAAAAAATCCTGCCAGCAGATTTGGGACATAGGCTCCAGTCTTGCATGTTCCTGGCAGTAGGGCCTCATTTCAGGGTTTATTTAAAAGTTATTCTGATTAAAATCTCAATTCCGGAATAATAGTAAACTTTGCTGAAAATTGTGTTCCTCTAATAACAAAAATTAAGCCGGGGACAAGTGAAGGAAAAGAAAAAAGGAATATATTTTTATTTTTTAGGTTTTGCTGCTTGCTCTCCCCTTATCCCGCTCCCCAGCCTTTGTTAAGTGAATCTGAACTGTAAAGCTGAGCATTTCCTAATGTTGGCACCATTTTCTATATCGAAACAAAAGATGAATTAATAGGACTAGTGGAAGCCACATACTAGGTATACACATAAAACTTACACAGACTTTCAATGGGATGGGAAGAGGATGGTTTTGGCCAGGATTCAGAGTACATTTTTCTTATAACTGGAAATCCTGGCAAGGTACGTGGTCTTTGACATGGAGAAAGGATCTTCTGTTTGGTGCTGGATGGATGTGTTTTGTTTAAATCATTACTGGAAGCATCTTTAAACTCAAGTAGCTTTTCTGCGCCGCTCCGTGACTGACCAGCAAAACCACAAATGAGACTTAATGCTGCTGGAAGGCAGCGCTGTGCGGGGAAGGGATCCAGGAGCTCGCAGTGATGCTGCGTGTGCCTGAGAAAGGGGGAACTGACAGAAAGTTTTAAAGTTCAAGACATGAACGCAGCAACCGGCCAAACTGAACCTCTGAGCTGAAGCAGCCTCTCAAATGGTTTTATAATAACTTCCTCTCCCATTATGCCGCAAACGCGGCTGTTAACGCAGGGAGGCAGTGGGGCTGACACAGGAGCAGCAGCTCGGACTTGTGTGCTAGTGAGGGTCTGGGCCAGGGTGAGCTATTGATTAATCATCTTGTCATGCTGGTGCTTTGTTATATTCTGTAGATAGAAATTGAGGCGCTAATTCGCTGCTCCATCCTGTAGTGAGTCTGCTGTATCACATGGGAACGATTTGTTGACTTATGGAAAACTACTACAGTGGGTTGAACGGTAGGATGATGCTGAAACAGGCTGAAGGGATTGTTTTTTTTTAAACTACTCCTCAAGTAAATCTTTTCTTAAAAAAAAAAATAACTGCAACAAAAAGCTAGAAACTGGGGTCCTTGCTTAGCAAGCTGTGCGTCTGGACAAGTGCATTTGTTCCTATCTACATGGGGAGGTTTAGGGAAGCTAAGACAAACAAAAAAACTGCCCAGTTTTCTTCAGTTATGTGCGAGATGATGTAGCTGATGAAATCTTGGTTTGCATTTCAGTTGCTCCTCTCCATAACTAACATTGCTGCTGAGAAAAGGCAATGGAAGTCAAGGTGATGGTAAGGTACCTGAATGAAGTTGAAGGACCCCTACAGATAAATCTGTCTCCCTTTGTTCCAAGCTTTGTGTTTTCATTTCAAAGTATCTCACCAGCACTAGAGGACTGTGAGACAGGCTTACACTACTGTTTTCTATACTACAAACTCATTTGTTTCTTGGTACGTTGCAAAATATTTTTTACAGCCCTATGGGGATTGTAATAAATTAAGGAGAAAAAAAAGTCCTTCCCAAGTAAGTCTAGGTGAATAACAGTCATACATCAAGATGATCAAAGTGGTGGATTTTCTTCCTCTTCTTTGAAATCCCTATGTTTTAACTGGCCCGAGTGGCCCTTCTCGATATGGTTCCAAGCCCGGCGTGTTGTCTTCCCCCTCTGTCTACCCCATCCCATACACAGACCCTCCCCTTACATGGGGAACCTCCCCAAGGGTCCGCAGACTCAGGAATGCATAGGTTAAAATAGCCCTGCAGCTCAGCTAAACAAGGCCTTTCCTTGACAGTTATATGATGGGAGGGTGCTAAGTAACCCAGAACATGAAACCCAGGGGAAGCTGTCCCACCCTGTCCCCACCTTCCAAAAAACCCCTTTCATCTAGGTCAGGTGAGGGCAGAGCTGATAAGAACTGTCACTGCATCAAATTAAAGGAGAAAACGATCTGGAAAGTTGTTTGCAGATAAAACTTGACTGATTAATCTATTTGTTCCCTTTATTTGGCAGAAACTTAAAACCAAGTTCCACCGTGACTTGAACTGCATGAAAAATAATGGGCTATTTATGCAATTATCTGCACGTACCTGACCATTGGCTCAAGCCAATGAAGTGAGGACAAGACCATGAAAACTGGCTTTTTTTAAATTGATTTTTCCTTCTTTTCCAGGTGTGGTTTAGGTGAAAATCACAGACCTGTAGGTCACAGCTTGCCACTGACATGTGCTCGATGCTCGGGAGCTGGCAGTGCCTCCCAAGGCTGTCTGTGCCTGTCCTTGCTGTGTTCAGCCACAACAACGCCCGTGTTTCTGCCTGGTGATAACAAGTAAGTCAGACCAGAAGACAAGAACAACATCCTGGTATTCTGAAATGCAACTTAGCACCTGCAAATGCAGTTGTGCTGCTCGGGGGAGATCTCTGGCCAGCAGGACCTTCCAGTGCCTTTGCGCCGGACTAAAGGCCTCTTGTTTTTGGAAGTACTTTTGGCTTCATTGGTGCCAAAGTTAACCAAACTTCCCACAAATCACAGCCCCTCAATGTTCCTTTCCCACTGAACAGAGCTGTTTTTTTGCATGCGGTTACTGCACTGGGACTGCCAGCTTCCTTCCATCTGGTGACAGCAACCCTTGGTCCTATTGCAAAAAACCCACGACATTTAAACACGAAGGACAGCCATGTGCTGCACTGCAAAGGGCAACACTGGGGGATGGCAGGGAGGGACATCCTCATTATCCCCTTTTAGCCCTCCTGAAGTGTACTGAGACTTGGGGTTGGGACTGAAAAGTCCAGACCAAGACCAAGCTAAGATGATCAGAGAGCAGAGATTGTCTTACTACTAAGATATCAGAGGGCTGGAGCACCTCTCCTATGAAGAAAGGTTGAGGAAACTGGGCTTGTTTAGCTTAGAGAAGGCTCTGGGGAGACCTCATTGTGGCCTTCCAGTACTTGAAGGGAGTGTGTAAACAGGAGGAGTAGTGGCTGTTTACATGGGTGAATAGTGACAGGACAAGGGGGAATGGTTTTAAACTGAGACAGGGGAGGTTTTAGGTTAGTTTAGGTATTTAGGAGGAAGTTTTTCACACAGGGTGGTGACACACTGGAACAGGTTGCCCAAGGAGGCTGTGGATGCCCCATCCCTGCAGGCTTTCAAGGCCAGGCTGGATGTGAATCTGGGCAGCCTGGTCTGCTGGTTGGCGACCTGCACATAGCAGGGGGTTGAAAGCAGATGATCATTGTGGTCCGTTTCAACCCAGGCCATTCTATGATTCTATGGTTCTATGACTCAAGCTGCTATACCCCAAGCACTGGTTACCCACAGCGCTGTGGACACACAGGCATGCACTCTTCACTCCCCAAACTGCAGATGAAAAATGACATTTCTGACCCAGATTAAAAAAAAAAAAACAGAACAATCAAAAAGAAAAAGATTCCTTCAGTTTTGTAGTCCTTTATTTTTTTTTTTTTTAAGTTGATCCTCCCATAGTAATGTACTGAAATGCGTAACAGTTACATTGTACAAAGCATTTAAAGAAAGTACCTCAACTTGCCGATTATTTCAAAATGAGATTATAAACAAAAGGAAAAAGAAATCTGGTCCCTCACTAAAGGCCAAAAAAACCCCAAAAAAATAACTGAATGCCTTCCATTCTTTATTTATTTTCTTTTTAAACATAAATTTGGAACACTTCATCTTACAAATAGGATTAACATGAACATAACATCACACAAGCTCGCAGACAACCAGCATAAAATATTGGGTACAGTTTTTAATCAGAAGAATCATGCTTTCATGAAGAAATTATAACTGTTTATACAATTGAATCAATTTACTGTATTACAAAACAAAAAACTAAGTCGCATCTATTAGTTATTTAGTTCATTAAAAGGAAAAAAAAAATAAAAGAGGAATGTAAGAAAATTTCAAACACTGTTTTGCACTCCCATATACACAGATCAGTTCACCTCACTTGTTTTTAAGTACATGGGTGCCTACATCATAGCGCAGTGGGGGACTGGAGCAGTGCTGTTTGTTACAGGAACAGTGCTATTTTAATCAACAAACATTTGTTTGCCAACAAATAAATACATGGTACACACAACACAAAGAAGAAATGAGAGGGAAGGGGGAAAGGAAGCGACACAACAAAAGAGCGACATGATTGTCTAAAATTAAAATCTCATTACAATGATTGGAACTAGTGGTGCTGTCGATGGACGCGGTGCTTTCACGGAATTATCAGGATGATTTAGCTTCTTGGAGCAGTGAACATTCATAGTTTACAATATACACAAGCCTCGTATGTATTGTTTCTCATAGTTCTTTTTTTTTTCTTTTTTTTTTTTTTTTCCACATTTTTCCTTTTTTTTCTTTAACAATGCAGTTGAGAAGGCAAAAGAATTACGGAGAGAACAAAATACTCCCTGTTACTTCTTTCTACATTTATGATGGATAGTGTGCATTTCATATAGCTATTTTCTTTCTTTCTCTGAAGGGCTAAAATGCATAAAGCTTTAATGAAGAGATTTGTACATAAAAGCAACTGTTCCCAATCCTGTGTCGAACTATTTTATACAAAAAGAAAATCAATTCAGTTCCTACTTTAAAGGAGTGCCCATGTGTGTATCAATGCAGTCTTAACCCTTTTGCCCCTGCCTCTCAAAGCCGGGTGAACTGGAAGACACTTTTTCCTGGCCCCAGTTTACATAATCCACTGAAACTCTTTTTTTTTTTTTAAGTCGCATTGATCCTCCAGAAGTCAGCAGCTGCCTTTGCTGTGCAAAACAAAATATTGAGAATAAATAGTTTCTTTCTTTTTAAAATTATTCAGTTTAAGGTCACCAGACTTTAAATGAGTGACCCTGCAGATTTATAAGGCATTCTGCTCAGCAGTCTTTTAAATAGTCATATATGAAAGAGCCATGCTACTGGTTTGGACTTGGTCCCATTCTTGGTAAGACTTCACAATGTCATACGTGACTGATGGACTGGATGGCGCTGGATTCTGCAGCAGCTCTCGCCATGCTGTGCCACATATTGGGAGAATTGTGGGATGCAGAATGAAGGGAGTCCTTGTCAGAGAGAGAGAGCATCATGGCGTACGCCTGGATGGGGAAAGAAGGAAAAAGAAGAGGTCATGCTGCAGGTTCTCTGAGCTTAAATCCTTCAACTTCCACCTGGTTAAGGCGTCTTTTAGACCGCAACTGGTCTTCCAAGTTCAATGACAAAAAAATCACAGCGCATCAGGTAAAACCACTGTCAACATTTCCACTGATGTTTTTGACTCACTGATACTGTTAATTATCTGAACTTTCCTCTGGCTTCATGAAGCTCTGAAAAAAACGCTGATAAAAGGCAAGGTCCCAGAGACTCTCGTTTGCCTTCGTGTTATGGTAAATAGGCTTCTTTCAAGAGCCTGAAGAATCGCGTTATCTTTTGGCTGCTATGGTATCTCACCAAATACCACAGTCTCTTTGCTGTGACCTTCTCCGCAGGTATATTCTGCAGCTTTTAAAACACAAATCTTTTACAGGGGCTAAAAAGATCCTTTTTAATTTATGTTTAAAAATATTCAAGAAATGCCCCTTGAACTCAGCTCAGCTCAGTTGTCACTGTTTCTAAATCATGCTAGATGAGGAAACATTAACAGACTATAAAAAACCACCACAAAGACAAGCCAACCAGAAGAGCAAGTAGCATCCCTATAGTTAAACTGCACAGCATCCACATAAACACATGGGATGTCTGAAAGCAGGGAATAGATTTCTTACCACGGCAGGTGGCAGACAGGAAGAAAAGCAACACAGAAGAAAGAAAATCCCCTGGTACCAAGGCCAGAGCACCCTGTGCTGTCTCACTGTAGTGGGAGTGCAGTGGGAAGCTGAGGGACGCTCAGATTAATGGATGTGAAGCCCAGCCCTGCCTGACCAATCTGAAAAGACTTTGCCTGCCACAGACTAACAGCTTAATCCTTTAGGTATTGGGTGACAATAACATTTTAACTGAGTTAAGCTTTTACCTGGGATTTGGATTTCCTGTACAATGGTTGTTTTAGGTCCTCTGGCAGCTGGGAAGTATTGAAAGCTGCCAATTCAGCTTCACTATATTGATTTTCTTCCATTTTCCTCATTTTGAGGCTATCTGTGAAGTGCCTTATGTGGTCCAAAGCTGAAAGTCCAGTCTTATTATATTCCTCCTCTTTATACCTACAAAAACACCACAGAGGTTACAGGGACTTTTAACATCAGTTAACTGGAGGCTGCCAGTGAACTGCTGCTGCTCAACACTTCTCAGGCATTCACGTTTACTCCCAGGTTTTTAACCACCTGCACCAAAAACCACGTGTGCTGCAGAGCAGCCTGGTAAGCAGGAGGTTTGAAGGAGCCCCCAGAGCCCCTTGATGTCCTGCTGGTGACCTGCAGTGCACGGTCACGTTGGCCAAACCACCCTTGGTAACATTTAGTGCTGCCCACCATCACCAACTTGGCGTTTAAGGCTGATCCTCACTGCAATCCCTCTTCCTCTCACATTTACACCTCGGATTTTTCTCCTTTTATAGGCTCATAAACCACCTTGCACTGTGGAACCATGGTCCTGAAACAAAAGGAACCACGTTTTCTATTCTAAAAAGGAGCGAGTGGGCAGCAGGAGCAGAAGTGGGAGAGGCTGTCTCTCTTCTGTGGTGTCTCCACAGCCTTTCTTGAGACCATTATGGGCTATTAGGGTATGTTAAAGGAGTAGATAACATAACTCCCATGAACATTTCCTGTCTCACCCAGAACATGACAATAGTTCCCTAGGCAAACTTATTTTTCCCCTTAGAGGCCACAGAGTTTGCATGAAGAGACTGAAAACAGGGCTGGTATTGACCAAAACACGGATGCACGTTGCTATCGTAACGGGAAAGTTGGCTACCTCAGACAGGTTCCCACGGCACACAGTTTGGTGCTGGCACTCTTGTATGGTTTATTGTTTTTATTTGTGTATTGAGCAAACCAATACTAGGAAGGAACCAACCTGCCAGGGGAAGCTTTGCAGTTCATGTCCAAAGTACTCGTTTCCTCGTAATCCTCCTCAGGAGTCCCCTCATGTATGTCACTTGTAACAGGCTCTTTGACTGTTTTCCCTGCAATTTCACTTTCTTCATCTTCTTCGTCCATCATTACTTCATCTTCTGCCTCTTCGTCATCCAACAAATCTGAGTTCTGGCTGGTTACCATGGCTTTTTCATCCTTAAAGTGACTGCCATTCATTCTGAAAGTACCGAAAGAAACAAATGCGATCATCAAAAATCACTCAAGAAAACTCCATACCAGTGGGCTGTCAGAGACAGATCTACAAAAGATGTACCAGTAAAATAATTTCATTTAGGCACTATTGTAGAAAATTCCACTAGAAGTCAGTGGGGCATTACAGTGCATTCAGCACGAGATTCTCCTGTCATTCTGAGAGCCTAAACTACTGTTCAAGAGGAAGGATGTTCAGATATCCATTCCAAATTTTCTCACGCATTATTTCATCTCATATTTCCAATCATGTATGAAGTCTAGGCAAAACAACTCATTGACTTTTAGCAGAAGCCAGAGGGGTCGAGAAACTCGGAAAACCAGATCTGGCATTTTCAACAGTGACATCCAATACTGTGTTCAGCATTTTAAAGTCAAAATTACATGCATAATTAATTTTGCACACCACCATCCATTTGGAAGCCATATTACTTAACTGAACGTATGGATTACATACATGGGAACCTAAGTGATTCAGCTGAAGACCCAAGAGTTGTCTGTAATACTGCCTCCAAACTGAACTGCATTACTGACTGATTTGAAGAATTAAAGAAAGATCATAAAATGTTTGAAATGAAAAGTCTTTAGTCCTATGAAATGAGCATGTGGAGAACACTTTGCTCCATACAAGGTTACTGTGTTATCTCTTGTGTTCAAACTTTCCTAAACTACTTTCTATGGGATCTTTTCAAGGATATAACATCCACGCTGTAGTAGGGGCTTACTTGCAAATGGCCTCAACCACCAGGATTGGGTCTATCTGCAGCCACATCACGTCCACTGCATTAATCGAGTGCCAACAGCATTCAGCACAACTATGGCATCAACAAACACAAGGCCAGAAGCACTGAGGATACGACTGGGCTGAACCAATGGGGCCACATGAATGCAGCCACCAGCCTATCTGCTCCACTGCTTTATGTAGCATGGAGGCCTTGATTCAGCTATTGTTCTAATTGTGCAAAAGGTCCCTACTCTTCCAGGAATACAGTTACAAAAATGGAAACGTTATTGTCTGCCCGCAGTTTGTGTTAGACTGCATGTGCTTCAAACTGTGTGGGACAATATGGGATACAGCAAAAGTTTTAGCTAGATAAGGATGAGACCTGTGAGCATATCTGATATCTAATGTAAGACTCACGGTCGTAACAGATGTACTTTTCTTTCCTATGGAGGACATACAAATGAAAGATAGTTTATTACACAATAGCATAATTTCATCTATTTTCTGAGCAAATTCCAGCTGATTGTCACAAGCATTAGGAAAAGTTAGGGAATAGACTGTTTATATCACAGTATTGAAAAATCTGACGCTATCCAGAATCAGGAGAGCTGGAGCAACCACCCCCCTCTCTAAGTTAATCAGAGCAGTATCTCTTTATCATCTTTTATTTAAATAGGCAGATATAAGAAATTGCTGAGTATAGCTTAGGCTGCCAACTTGCTTGTTATGCTCGATTGAGGCTGCAAGGAATGAAAGGGAGATGGACTACAACCAAAGTAACAAAAGCCATGTGATTAAGAAAACAGATTCTCTAATTATGCTTTCAAATGCAGCAATTTGCCAGGGATAAAATATCCATCAAAAGCAGTCTGAAGTGCCAAATTTAGAAAGGAAACACTGCATAACCCAGCAACCTTTTCACTTTGCTGACTTCCTGTTGGAGGACATGTTGAGACCAGATGTGCAAAGAAAAAATCCCAAGCTCTCATTGCCAATCAAGAAGGAATGAAATTTGAATATGCATGTAATCACTTAATCCAATACTTGCAGGGAAATTTTGTTACGTCCACCATTTTTATTCCCTCACAAAGACATCTGGAAATTGAGAAGACAGTGAAGTTTGTCACCAACAGTAAGAAAGTTTTGATGTCGATAATGTAATGCCAACTCAAAAGCATAAATAATTCATAACGCAAAACCAGCCTCACAGAAATATGTACAGTTGATATGTGTATCCCTGTTACAGCCTTTTTAGCTTAGCTATAATCTTTATTAGCTGAAAATACTTAGAAATGGCCTCTCTTCTACCAGCTTAAAAGAATTGAAACACGTATACTTAATAAATCTTACCAGGTGTTCTCACCTACCCACAGCCTTACTGACTTTTTGCTAGCAAGCATCTTTCTAGGCACTGAATCAGTTGCAGAACAGGGCTTCTTAGACATAATGCTCCATTTCACTTAAGAATTTAGCTTACCCTACTTTATTAACTACACATTTAAATTACATTTAAGTAATGGTTATTAATCCAGGTTTAGCTACTGGATGTAGAGTCCACCTGTTCTGCTGTGAATGTAAAACAAAGGAAATTGTAACAGTCACAACTTACCTCTCCTCTGAGTTTCGGGGGGATTGACTGTTGTGGTTGCTGTTTCCAATAAAATTCCTAATTTCTGTGAAGTAAGAATCTTCTTTGTCATCTAGGATGGCCCCTGTGCTTTCCAGTTCTGAGTGAGGTGAAGATGTTGCAGTACCTTAACAGGAGAAATAAAGGACTTCTTTTGTTGCTCATTTACATTTTCTACATTTAATCTTCTAAATCAAACTGAAACAAAATTGAGATGATGGTCTAACTGGGTGAGACCCAGTGAGAGCTGTTCAGTGTGCTCTGCCAGCTTTCAGCTGTAAAACTGGCACTTAGAAGGGAAGAGTTCCTATCCACATGCTAAGGTGGTTCCCATTTATCTTTCCTGTTACCCTGCAGCTTCAGTACCATCAGTCAATAACTGTGCTAGAACAATGGCTGAACTGAGCAAATGGAACTTAAGTTTAGTTATGAATTCTGCAGGTTTCCATAGAGAATGAAGCAGGCATTGACATAATCATCCAGGTTTGTTAGCACCGAGAGAGAGATCAGTTGCAGACATCTCTGTGAACCGGGGAACAGACAGCTCTGCCTTCAGTACATGCACCTGGTTATTTCCACTGGAGCAAAAGCAGACTGAAAAGACTGCAGAGGTTTCATGAAACCCTGCAGATACCTAAACCAGACCAACGATACTCAGCACAGAGTGCTGCCTTTGCTGCTGCTGTGAGGTGACAAACTTGCTCTGGGGCATTTACCTCCATCACGGGGATTTTCAGCTCCTGACAGTGGGAATATTTTACAGTGTGCCAAGAAAATCTTTTAGGGTACCCCCTGAGACTCTAAAGCTGGGATGTCTATCGACAGCCAAATCACTGAGATTCAACCAATTTTCCCAGGCTGTTCTCACAATGTTCTGGTTGGCTTAATTAAAGCCAAAAGAAAAGTCATCATCCAGTGGTATTAAGTTATACAAGCGTAGAGTTAATGCTGGGATTTTCAAAGCACTTTAAATGTCTGCAGAGCTTAGGCACTTACATATTTTCCAAAAATCCCCTCACCGGAGCAGACAGTGCAGAATAACTTGTGCCTATTGACATTCTCAGAGCTCAAAGTCAGCACTGAATGGGAATGTGAAGTCCTTGTATGCATACGTGAGCTGCACACAGGGGGCAATGGAAAGGGAAAAGGCATACATACCAGACATGTTGCCATTCTCATGCTTTTTTAGATGTCTGTCAAGATTGGTTTGTTGACCAAAACACCTGTCACACAAGTGACACTTGAATGGCTTCTCTTTATTGTGGATATTACGGACATGTCTCTGCAGGTTGGAAGATATGCTAAAGGACCTGTCACAGTATTTGCATCTAAAAAAAGCAAAACAGGTGGGAAGAAAAGCATTTGTTAGTTGCTTAGAATGTCAGATTTACTCTAAGAGACATGAAGCACCTTCCAAGATTTGCTCAAGTACTCAAACTCTTGGTCCCTCTTGTGCCAATACCCTCCCTCCAAAGTGTTCTGGCTGAATAACTGTAGAGCCGTGCTCTTGGAAAGAAGACATCACTTTTACAATTGGTTTTAATCTTTAATTCACATTAGTCTTTATCTCTTCAATACTGCTTTTAGGAATGAGCATAATATTTCAGAGTTAATGGCATTGAATTAGCCTGGGTAATTGATTCCCATGTTTTTTAAACTGTTGCACGCAAAGTTGGGAAGTTTGAAAACAGTAGAGCAATAACTCTATTGTTTCATGTGCTGCCAATACAATACAATTAAACACTTTTGGAAAAAACATGAAACAGATCTCTTCTAATGCTCAAATAAGGTAAAAAGGGCTATTTCTTTTCCTATTCTAAATTATACTGTGTGATTAAATCTTTTCTTGAGGAATTAGCTTGCTTGATTGCTAATCCCAGAGGAAATTTGGTTATCTTGCAAAAACCAGCAATAAACAATCCCAACCTTTAATACTGTGCCAATGTGAGTAGTTTAGTCTATCACTCTGGTACCAGAGGCATCAATTTTCATACTCGGCAGTGATTTGGAGTCCCTAAAGCCTTTACTGTATTGCTCTTTAAGCCATTACTAAGTCATACTATAACTATTCCAAATTCTCTTGCTGGCAACCAGCCAACAGTCTTCACCACTTTAGTTTCTCGATCTTTCATTTCTGCTGTACTTCTCTACATGTCTCTTATGCTTGTCAATGATGTCAATTTTTTAGTGCTGAAATCACCCATTATGTTACTAATTGTTCCTGGCTTTTATGTCATGGACAAGCATTACATGCATCAAGACATTTCTTCAATAAAATTAGATGTGAATCTCATTTCCCAAAGAGACTCGAGGCAAAAAAAAAAAAACACCAACCCCACCATATTGTTTCCTCCCAAACAATGAGCTTTTACAGGTCATAAAACACAGAAATTTGTGCATTTGTTTTACTGGAACATGAGCTGGCTTCTTTCCAGCTGATTTAAATTAATCTTTCATTTTCAATAAGGCAAAGCTTCCATACACATTTCTGTGTGTAACTGTCCTGGATAAAATATCACATACATATCCTTATCAACAAGAGAGTACACCCACATGGGTTTTGGTTACTCAGGCCTCAGAAAGCATCCAGATTCGTATCATATAAATACAGTCATGTTTTTGCAACTGGGATCTTTCAGAAATCAGATGATGGACAAAACACCCAACTTTAGGCTGAAAATAACACCACAGAGTTCTTACCAAAACAAACAAACAAACACAAACAACAATAAAAGCCCACTTGGTTTTTGTAAGGCCAAACATGGCTGTAAATCCTCTTGAAAATCATTTCACCCTACTCATTCCAAAGTGCCATCCATCCCACACGGCAAAGACAGGACTGCAAATGGTGCCTGAGTGGCTGCTTATGCCAAAAGAATTCCACAGGCTATGACCAAAACCTCCCCCATCTCTGCAGTGAAAATACAGCACTGCATGCAGCCACCCTTGCCCAGAAGAGTACAAAAGCCCTGTTTTAAACAAAGGCAAATTTTCACGTTTGCCATCCTCAAAGGGTTCTGAGAAACGAAGACACTTTCCCACAAAGAATAGAAAATTTATGGTGAGTTTAATTGGGGAAAAAAGTTCAGCTGGCACGAGGAAGCCCATTTCTAACATCAAGTCCAAAAGTCCACCCGAGCTCTCCTAACAGTGACCTGCCTGACCACAGGGAACCCTGCTTACCCAGGACTGCCTATTTTTGGATACAAAATCAAAATGCAATGGTGGGTAGCAATGAGATTTTCAAGGTTTGGGCAGCAAAACGTGCCTGCTGGTATCAGTGGGGAATTATCTAGGTAACTGAAAGGGCTCAGGCTCATGCACAAGGTGCCACAGCTGAGCAAATGGGTGAGTGATGCTTCAGCATCATGCATACGCCTTGACATGACAGCAACCATGTGGGAACAGCTTTGCTTAGCCATGAGGACGTGCCTTTTCCAATGGCAATGGTGTCTCACCCCTGAATTTGTTGAGGTCAGTAACAAAGCCACCATTAATATCCCCTCTTGCACACATGTCCCCCTGCTTTATTCACATAAAATGCACAACCACCAATGTGTGTAACAATGTGGTACCTGTAGGGCTGCTCTCCAGTGTGTGTCCTCAGGTGACGGGTTAGGTTTGCAGATCTGGGGAAAATCTTGCCACAGTATCTGTGATGAGAAGAAGCTCCGTAAGGCAATGCAAGCAATGCTGGCTTTGTTCCAGTCTGAGACGCGCTACAGGCACAGCCCAAATGGAATCACAGCTCTGCGGTACTATTGGCACTGCTTTGGTGTAATGACACCTCAATAAAAGCATCAAATAAATAGAAGTGATTGAGACACACACACACATAAGAACGGAATTGGAATTGCTGGCACCAACCGGCTTTTTTTCTGCATAAGCAAATGGTACATGAAAACATACTAGCTTCAGAGACTGCACAAAATCTCTAATCTCGCTAAGTGCTTATCTGTCACATTCAGATTTGGAATCATGAGGATCTGCTATTAAAGTCTTGGATTTCAACTTCAATGTAAGCAAATTTCAAACCTTCCAGCCAATTCTGTGTGTCAGCAAACGTGACATCATCTTGTGCGCTGAATAGGATCAGACCTGACAAGACTCAAAGATTTAATCCATCAAGGTATATTTCTGTAACAACATGTCTTGAAAGAAGGTTGCATGTTTTCAGAAAGATCAGATAAACCAATACGCCAATGTCAAACACCTGTGCATTCTGGAGATGATACAGAGACCTACATTTAAAAACCATTCTCCAAACTCTATAATATGCCACAGGAATAATAATGATTGTATATATACGACATGCATAAATATATATATGAAATATATACTATCTAATTAATATAAAATATATAATGTGGATACATGTTGATAGATACAGATATTATATACCTATATACAGATACTGTGAGCCCTTCCTGCTCATTTAAGAAGCCTATTATTATTCAGTTTATAATTGTTCCAGTTCTATTAATCACATTCAGCTCATTTTTGTATGGGGACAGAGCACACACAGCTCTCAGGAGAATGAGGCTGATGGTTGCTTAACATGTTGGCTTTGAAAACTGCATCCCTTCGTTTTTAAGACTGCATTTATTTTTTTTATATAACGTTCAAGTCCTCAAGACAGCTAATTCTGCTCTCCTTGACAAAGCTCCCATTCATGTTGGTTCTATGTACAATCATCTTCATTGTTCTTTGAAGTCTGCATGCTTATTTCCTAATAAGTCATCTGTTTTATCACTGATTCCCTTGGATGTCAAAGAGAGGAAAACATGAGAAAAACAATTCTGTAGTTTACAATTAAAAAAATCAATCCGTAACGAAAGCACACTCATGAATATGAAAGTGATGAGGAAATGTAGACAAGGAGTTGCTTATGGAATAGCTGTGTGTTGTTACCTGCAGGTGTAGCGCTCCTTGCCCTTGCGCAGGAGGGTCTCAGGCAGAGCACTTGGAGGGGCTCGGAAGTTGAACATGGATGGCATTGACTGGATCATCTCATTGGCCTCTGGCTTCAAGGCACTGAAACTCTCCAGCTTTTCGGCCATGTTTTCTATAGCTGACATCTGCAATGGAAGATGGCACAACAGTCGGCACGGTGAGTACCGCTGTGGGTTTGTGTCTGTGCTGAAAATGCTAAGCATAAGGGGCACAGACTTCCAAGAAGACAGACAAAATGGTAAATGTAGAGCTGCAGTCACAAATACTACTGGGCAGAGTATGCAATGTGGTGGCCATGATGATGGCCCTCTCAGAGTAACCCCTATAACTGCTGCAATGGGTTGTGTTCCACTTCAAGACCAGTACAGAGCAGAACTGCTCTAGTGGCTACAGGTAAAGCTGCTTCCATACAAAGTCTAAATCAGCCAGTGATAATTTCATGTTCTTTTTAAGCCTCAACAGCTACAGAAGTAGAGCTGTGCAGCCGTACTCTGTGGGTGTGTATGAGTGTGCAGCCCATCTACTGCAACCACTGGCCTCTTCAGACCAATTCAATAGAAAAAATAGAGAACTCAATAAGAGATGAATTCCTACTATCTTTTTCTTTCTTTCTTTCTTTCTTTTTTAATTATGGACTTTCAGAGGACAAATATCCCAAAGAACACAAAGCGCTCCAGCTTAACTAGTAGATGCAACAACCCGAAGCTCCATCATTGTCCCAGCCACATCCAAGCATTCAAGTCAAACCTTGCAGATCAGAGTCAAATGTCATGACATAAATCCATCAGAAATGAAGCTCTGGTGGGTTTGGTGCTATTTATTCATTCACATTACCCACTAGATGCCTGTCAGGTTTTCTTACAATCTCTTAATATTTCTACTCTACCTTCGGTTGCTTGTAAACCCTACAGACTTTGGGATGCTGCCTCTTCCTGCAGCTGTATTAAAGGGCTTTAATTTTCAGGGAGGGGGTATTAAATAATTTCTGAAGATTGTCTCCCTTCAAAGTATCTGGAAACGACCATAGGAAATGGTCCAAAACTTCCAACATTGTCACATAAAGAGCCGAAGATTGCTGCTGAGCCTCCTGACAGGTAAAATAGCTGCCTGCCTCCTACTGTCACCATAAACATATGGAAAAAATAAACAAATAAACAATAGAAATGCAAGATCTGCACTTAAAGAAGGTGGGCACAGTGGAGATCCCATGCCATGAGCATGCAAATTGCTTCGTCATAAACCACAGCATTAATCAAGTGCTATCTATCAGAACACCTCTGCAGCACATTCTTCAGAATCCACAAGGACTACTCTGATTCCGTTTGCTGTTATTTTAATGGGAAGAACTGCATGTTTGTCTCCAGACAGGGCTCTGCAGGTGCTGGCTAGCTCTGGCTTTGGTCTTTTTTTTCCCTTTAGCCCACAGCCTGCCCTCTCATTTCATGCTCAGACTCCTAATGCTGAGTACAAATTGCAATGTACAGAGTACCACTGCCAATTTGCCAAATGTCTTTCATCAAACACGCTGGAAAAAAAAAAAGAAAATCTCAGAGGGAAGTCAAGATACATTTACTTGTCAGGCAACAAATGGGAAAGCATTGCGAGGCAGTAGGGGCTGTAAGCTCTGGGGTTTGATTCATAATCACTCAGCTGCTAAAACATTCTCCACAGATGCAAGTGGACAGCACATTTGTCAATATGAAGGATTTTGACACGTACTGATCACAGGCATGAGATATGTAATGATGATGCTGCTGGGAGAGGAGGTAATTCTATCTCGGCAGAGAGATGTCATTATCAACCCATATGACTCAACATTACCATACATTTATTTTTATAGGACTTCATATTTTTCTGCAGTAAGAATTGATTCTTAAACCTTTTATAATAGTTCTTCCGCTGCCTGTAACTCCTTCTAATTGTTCCCTGCAAGAAATCATTTATCAGTTTTGCAATTGTGGGAAATTAATGGTTTGAATGAAAAATGACCTTTGGCCTTCAGGCTGATTAGCAGTGACAAGACAGTGTATGGGTTATGATAGCACATATTTATAGTGAAGAATAATAAGGGCATCGAGAAGTATAATAAATGTTTTATTTATGTTTATTTAATATTCAAGTCAGTTTCATTATCTAGTGGTTTTAAATCATTTTTGGATCATCATTTCTCACGTACGTGGTTCCCTTCAGTAATATATTAAAGCAACTATTTTCCCCTTTCCATTTAAAATGGCTTAGTCATGCTTATTTCTTTTTATTATCTTCAGGATTTTGCAGAGGAGAAATGGAGAATGAATCTTCTCTCATGTACAGTGCCATAGGTCAGCACCAACCCCTCCCTGCCACCAGGACTACGTCAGTCCTCAAACAGGTATGAAATCAGGATCTAATCTTAAATCCTTTGTTCAGAGGAATTACAAGCACTTCCAATTATTATAAAGCATTACGAGATTTCCAAAAATATGTTTCTCACCACAGGAATGACTATTGTGTTTTTTAAGACTTATCCCTGTAGTTACCTGCTATGATTTATATGTTTCAAGAAATACAACAAAGGGAAATGCTCAGCCCAAAGTCTTTCCTGATATGAATCAGTGTCACTCCGCTGCTGTCGGTACAATTACAGCAGTGTCTATCTGATGGAGATGTGGCTCACAATATTGGAGCATTTTCTTAAGAATAACAGGGGCAGTAAATTCTTTTTCCAAAAAATGCACTTGCAGAGGTTGCAACATCACAGAAGCCAGCTCTGATTAAAGCAGAGTGAAGATGAGAGATGAGTTTGCTCCCTGTTAGCCTTCCTGCCCAGACTGTGCCCCACCATGAAGGTCACCAGCTCCACACAGAAGCTGATGCTCCTCTGCAGAAAACTTGGCTAAAAAACCCAAGGCTAACAGCTAACATCAGCAGTAGGAAAAGGAAATCCTACACAGAAGTTTGGAAGGCATCAACAATCCAGATATAGGGAAGTGAACTGCAAACCACTGAAGGGTTTGCAACCTTCAGGATGCTCTTCTCCATCACATCCCAGCTGCTTCTCAGCTCTTGCCCTCTGCTCCTTTCTCCCTAGCATATCTGGGATGCCCCCAGTGCTGCACAGCACCTGGCACAGGAACTGCCATGGGGATGATATGCACATGTGCAGCACGGGTTCGTTACAGCCCATACAAAAGCTGTCATCCCTGCCCAACAACAGGGTCTCACCTACTTTAAATTTCAGTTAACATCCACCACTCATCAATCCATTTGCAAAATCTGAACAGAGCGATGTGAAATCCAGCATTTGTGGTGCTTAGGACACAAGTAAGACCAAGCAGAAATTATGAACACTCTGACATACACTTCTGGGGAACCAGTGCCATGGTTTTAAGCAGTGGCCCCAGGACACACAGATGGTTCTCCAAGGACCAGACCTTCTGCCCACTGTCCGTCATGTGCCAGAAATGAGAGGTGTAAGAGCTTTAATTAGTGATTGCATCTCGATTACTGCATTGAACAGAGATGGCTTTAGCTCCCATTCATCTCTCTAAACCCACTTTGAATCCATTTGCATTTTTGTCAAGGAGTCCACCAGTACAATTAGGTGCATATGAAAAGATGCTGGCTTTTGTTCCTTTGAACAAAATCCTTTTGCCTGATAATTCAACTGGGTGTCCCTCATTTTTTCTGTGTTGTAAAAACTAATGAATAACCATTTCTCACTCAGGTCCTCACCATTCACCATTTTACAGAGCTGTGGCACAGCTCTCTCGGGCATTTTTTTTCCAAGCTCAAAAATCAAATCTACTTTAGGCTCTTTTTGTGGGGAAGCTGTTCCCTACCTCTGACCATCATTGTTGCACTTTTCTACGTCTTTTCTAATTCTACTCTGCCTTTTTTGAGAGGGGTTTCAGTTGTATTCAAGACCTGAAAGCAATATAACATAATGACATTTTCAATTCATTTCTGTTAAGCACTCAGATAATATTTTCATAAAACTATTGACTTCAAGATGCTTTTCCTGAATGACCCGAGTGAAGAGTTATACCTTCCCCTCTGTATAACTTGGTACTTACTAACATTGAGTTTCACTGCTATTTTAATCCCTGGTGACTCAGCTTTTGGTGGAACTCCTGCAGTTAGCTTTGCATTTAGCTGTTCTCAATAAACTGTTGGCTCTCTGCTCTTTGCCTGTTTACTCCCTTTCCTGCACAGTTTACAAACAGATTTAATCCTTCAGATCCCATTGACACCCCTGGGTGAAGCTGGTGATACAATCCAACTACTGCAAAAATTGCTAATGTATTCTTATCTTTGCTTTCCTGTTGTTGTTGGTTTGGTTGTTTGGTTTCTGTTTGTTTGTTTAGATAATTATTAATCCAGAAGACTTTCCCTGTTGGCAGAGCTTCTTTAGGAGCAATCAGTGAGAACCCCTCCTTCAGCTGAAACACAACCCAAGCAGCCTTTACTTCTCCAAAACCCCGAGTTCCTGGTGCAAACTGCTACAGCATCAGTCTCAGTAGGGTGCTTTGCTCCAGGGATGGTGCTTGAACACCACCAGGGATGGAAATTTTTAGGGATCTGAGCCCCAGCAGGCACCCAAGGCTGCAACCAACCCGTACTGGGCACAGGGAGAAAGGCATGACCCCAAAGAGGGATTAGTTAATTGCCACATCCATGGAGAAAGCCCTCTGAGGAGGCAGGAGAGCAAGGAGGTCCCGTTACATATTTTACACTGCAGTTTTGGCCTTATGGACAAGTCATGTCTGCTCCTAATCTGAGATTGGTGACTGACAGCGCTTTATAGGGAGCAGTAACTTTTGATTTACATATAGGAGTTGTTGATTCAATCTACGTCCAGATGTCTGGAAAAGGAAGCAGCTTCCCCCCACCTCCCTCCTGCTCCCTGAGAGCCCATTAACCTCCTACTGACGCAAACTAATATGTAGTCACAATTCCCCAGCTCGGACTCAGAAATGCAGACATTACCATAATCGGCTAAAACAAGTATTTATAAACATTTCAACGGGTAAGATACCATCAGCAGGGGTCCTGAATATTTGTCTTAAAATTTATTAACCAACCACAGAGAAAGTGTCATAAATAAAGCAAGGTTTGTTGTTGCTGCTTTTTAAGAATAACCTGATGATACGAAATAATCTAGCAGACAATGTCATCAATTACATGACCTAATGTTTTACTAACTAGACTCCTTCGATGCTATTATCATAAAAACAACTGACTTTATGGTCACAACTCATGGGAAAAAAATTGTTCAAATGTTTGCTTTCTATTTTTACTGCTGTTATTTAGAGAAATCTTGAAGACCCAACTACCGAAGTTCAGAATTTCTTCCTGCCCGGTTCAAGTCATGCTGCTTTCTCTAAAAATTACAACTTGTGAATTGGTTGCAATGTATCTGGCCATCCAGCCACTTGGCTGAGCTGTACCATGCCCAAAGACCTTGCACACATGGCTGAACTCTACGAAGGAGCTGTGAGAAGCTTCAGCTGAGACCCACAAAATCTCTACTTGGATTAATGCTGTTGGTGAGCATTTATCTAATCTAACAGAATGGATCATGTCTTAAAATACACCCGTAAAATAAAAGCTTTATTAATGTACTCATTCAATTTCTTATCATTTATTTTTAAATTAATTTAATTACTTATTAATTATGCTCCACAAGGGTATTGCAAATAAAATTTGAATCTCATTAGAGAACCTCTTTATAGCAACCTTCTCTTGATGGGACCAGTAGGGAATGAAAAAGTTCACAGACTAAACAAATTGTGGTCCACTCAAGAGAGGATGCTCCCCATTGAGTCACACTACAGCATTCCTGCCAAACAATGAGAAACAATGTGAAATAATCTTGAAATATGTGGCACAGGCAACTGTGAATTGAGACAGGAAGGCATATGCGACGTTCAGATTTCTCAAGATGAAGATTCACCCATGAATCAGCATCCCTTGCAAGGCACTTTATGCCTTACATACCTATTGCTGCTGCAGTTGCTCAAGCACTACCACGGCCTGAAGATGCATGCTCACACAACAATAACAGGACAAAGGAAATCCAAAGACCAAGCCAATGCCAAAGAAAGTAGACAGAAGAAACAGGCTGCGCTGGGGTTTTCAGCTTCCCAAATATCCCCAGAGCATCTCTGAGATGCAGGGTGCACAGACCAAATCACGTCTCTCCATGAGCTCTGGATATGGCTGCACTGAACTGCTGCAAAGAGGATGCTTGGGAACCCCTCCAAGCCTGGCACCTGATCCTATGTCCTAGGGGTATGTCATCTGCTTGCATAGGACTAATGATGGAAAATCTCTGCAGCTTTCCCTTTGGTTGTTTTGCTGGTTTTCACTAAGGCCAGCATCGCTGCAACGGGGTTATGGGTTCAGACATTCCCACAGCTCCAGTCGCCTCTCTGTGACTGAGCTCATTTGGGATCTGTGCTCAGGATCTTAGACTCAAGATCCTAGAAGCCAGCATTTCAAGGAGACAAAATGGGCATCCAAAGCCACGCGTGCACAAAGCAAAGCTCCATCACTGCCGTGGAGGAGAGCAGGGTGCAGACATTCCTGGAGCCTCATGCGCGCAGGCAGGAGCACATTGCCATCTATGTCTGGGAAATCCAGGCTTCACCTTGTGCAACCAGCCCACATCCCACTGCAAGCCATGAGCAAGCATGAGTCAGCCCCAAGTCTTCCCTCTGAGACCCACAGCAGTGAGGCTGGAAAAAATCTGGGGCAAGTATTGATGGGTTCAGCGATAAGAGGAGCAAAACTCGGTGCTATTCCACTTGCATCTGTAAAAGCAGTTGCTGTGGCTTTTTTTTTGTTTTTTTTTTAAGAGCAATTTAGATGTATTAAAAATAAGTTTTATAAAAATAGAAGAGCCTGCTTGAATGTATCCCAGATACTAAAAGCAGAATTTCTGTTCACACGAGTGGGGACTGGGTGTAACTGTACACACAGGACAAGTTAGATCCCAGCACTGCAAATAAATGGGTGTTTTATTTGGGCTAGCAATTTATTTGGTATAGCAATTAAACTCCAAACTTCAAAACTATTAAAGTGACTGACTCCCTCTGAAGTCAGTATGAGATACAAGTGTGAAGTCCTCCGAGGCTCTGTGTTTTAATGTCTAGAACATAGATTAAATATTTCTAACTCTTGCAAGCTAACGAGATTTCAGCCTGAAAATTGTCACTACAATCTCTGAAGGAAAACAGCTTGGAACATTTTCAGTTCAATATAAACAAAGAGCGCATTCTGAAACCCTCAGTTAGGTAAAGCTCCCATTGCCATCACCAAATAAAAGCTGCAGGATTAGATCAGTGAAAATAAAGCCAATTGGACATCACACGGCATTTACCTGCTACAGTGCTCTGTGGGAAAGCGTGGTGTGCTCTGTAATTGTGTGGTAAGTTATCCTTCATATTATATTTTTCTTATGCAATTTATTTCACAGTGATTAAATCAAAAATATAAGCATGAACTTACCCAAATTCTTTGATCAGGCAATTGGAACTGGGAGCAAAATTGAAACAAAAACAACACATTATTCCTGCGCTGGAATCCTCATTGCAATCAAACTACTAATTAAGATCTTATTTAAAGATACTAATTAAGACATTATCCTGAACGATTTGTTACACTGGGGCATTCTCTCCCTAAAAAGGCAAGCCTTGTTACAGTAAATTATTGTGAACACACAATTATCTGCCTCAATCTCACAGCTTTGGGGTCACTGGCACCGGGAAGGTTCTCCCCAGGCAGGGACAGGGTAAGGACAGCACAGTTTATGACCTTCATCTCTACTCCAAAGCCTATTTTAATGATTTGTCTGTTACTGCTCCTATTATCCAGTTTAAAGAATGAAGTCAAACTTTTGGTTATATTCAGTTCAACCAAACTGCTTCAGAAACAAATTCACCTACAGAAATACACGTTTGTAGGACACGAATGATAAAAAATATTTTGTTCCTATCTTACAGAGACAGAACCTGCCAGCAGAAAATGAAAAGTTACGGGGCAGTCCACACCTGTACTTTACAGGGGTGAATGGGGCTGTAAAACAAAAGCAGCTTTTCTGCAAGGCATTCCCCAGCCCGCTATAAACACCGAGCCAAGCTCTGCTTTTGCAAACAAGAGGCTCCTTTTTATTAAAAAAGTCAGCAAGAAAGCAGATCTGGACATTTGCTTTTTTGACACGACATGTGATGGTGATTTATTTTTCTTTTACAATGAGTGCACATTATGCTCAGGACTTTTTCATCCACCAATCTCCCAAGAGGTTACCCTAGCAGACAGGTAACTGGTAACACAAAAGCCAGTACTTTAGCATGGAATTATTTTCTATTGCAAATGAGAAATGTGGAGGGATGGGCCAAGAGGTGCAACGCATCCACCTGTGCCTACACCAGGAGAACCTTGTGGTGGCATTCAGCAGTGGGAGCCATCTCTGCTGGCCTCATGGCATGGTGTTAGCACTGGCACTGTCCTCATACATCAGCACAGTGGGGCAGGTCCTGCCCACTGACAGCAGAGCACCTGCTGTTGTTTCCATTTCACCACATCAACCTCTCCCAGCACCCTCTGCTGACCCTCCTCCACGTCCCCTTGGCTTCATAAGGCAGTATCCAACTCCTTCTCACCCCAAACACCCTCCCAGCAGGGCAGTTTGGCACAAGCAGCCTCCTTCCACACCACCAACCACTGGCATCATCACACCACCATGTGCTGAAACTCACGGAGTCCCTCAAACCCAATTTAACTAAACAGCACAGATGCACATCTGAAGATCTATCAAGGACTCGTCAAAACTGTATCATTTCTTCCACCTTAAATATCTTCATTTAAATAATTCACCATTCATTTACAACCATTTATCTGCTCTAACAGGATCACTCACTTGATGGAGAGGGATCAGCTCAGTTTTACACCAGGGGACACAAAGAGGATTCAGGCCTCATTTGGGCACTGGTGCATTAGTCCTGTCTGCTACAGAATGGGAATTTTCACTTGTCGCTTTGCAACTCTGACAAAAAACATAACTCAGCAGGAGGTGCTGAGCTGCTATTAAATTTTGCACATAAATTCTCCGCAATTTTAATACTTAATAGACCCTTCACTTCCTACAGGCACTGGAACTGAAAAGGGCTGTTTTGCTGCACTTTCCTCTCATGGAAGAGCATTACGACTGCATACTTCCAACTACATATGCCATCAACACATCAACTGTCCTTCCCAGGTCTCCATGAGTCCCATATTTCAGAATATATTCCATACAACTTAAGATATTACAACTATTGTTGTGATTGAAGGAAAAAAAAAAAAAGACTCATAAATTGTTGTTGTTCAACAAATAAAAAAGCATGATTAAGGCCTATGAATGAGACAGCAGCTCTAGTATAGCATGGCTTTGGGCATGAAGGAGAAGGGATCATACAAGATCACTGCAAGTGACTATTGCCTAAAAGAGAGGGAGTGTTTGCATTAGGAGGCCTGAAAGCATTGGTTAGAAGGTGTTATCTCATTTCTTGGATTCCTTCAATACTGACAAAAGCAACAGAACTTACATGAGCAGGCAAATAGCTGGAAGGCTCAGCTTTGCTAGCCCAACCTTGAATCTACATCAACTCCCTGCATGTAATATGGACTCCACCAAAACGGCCCTGAAGAAGACAGGGCAGCTGCAAGTCTTGGTGGTTATGTTCTGGTTTTGGAAGAACGCAGTTCTCAAACACGCATGTAGTTTGAATCTGGCTTCCTCTCTAATCAAAACATGTTGTTTCATCTGCACAACATCAAGAAGCTCAGAACAATGCTTACGCTTTTCCACCACAATGGTGAAGCAAAAACTTTGTGCTTTAGGAAATCCAAAAATGACTAAGGCTGCATTCATTTATCTGCACCTGCTTTGAAGCATCAACAGGCTTGTTTACAACATCGAAATTCCCAAAATACTTACTTGTGGATGAAACAAGAATCCCGGGGAAGGTCTCAAGTATTTCTCTTTTAAAGCTTCGAGTGGGTCAGTTAACTTTCTTTTCTCTACTCTGTAAATGTTAAAATTAGATTTGCTTATGATGAATCAGTCTCAGACATTAATAATTACACAGCTACTCATGTTTAAAATGTCCAGTTACGTAGCAGGCAATTTGTTTCTCGGATGTAATGGCCAAAGAGGAGAGTACGTCAGCTCCCAGCTCCTACACACAGCCCATTGCTATGGTGGGGGCTGTGAATTGCCATTAAAGGCAATGGTGCCATTTACAGAGGAAGTAATTCCACTTCAAAATGCCAGTAATTATGAGAGTAAGAACCAATGACTAACTACTACGGACGTTCATGAAGAAATAAGGCAACCAAGCATGTTCTTCTGTTGGGAGAGTAGAACTGAAGGCAACAGGAGCTCTGAGCTGAGGTGCTGCCCACCAAGACCTTGTTGTGACCAGTGATCCTGCTGTCCTCATGCAGATGTAACTCACAGCAAAGGAAGGCTCGCTAACAACCTCATGCTATATTGCCAGAATTTCTATGGCTCTTTTGAGTTCGTAGCACAGGACCACGAAACACTTTTTCACTGCTTCAGGCATTTAAAGACACAAAGAGAAACTATGGTCCAATACAGATATCAAATAGGCATAAGCAAGATCATCTCAATAAACAGCATCAAATTACATTTCTTCAAAATGAATACCTGTTGTCCTCTGTAAGAGCATTCTGCAAAAACTCTGCCTACAGCATTTCTTTTTTAGATAAAGCAATAATAAATTAAAATCATTTTCACAGCCGTAACTTTTTTTTTTTTTTAACAATAGGCTGTAAAATCAGTCACTTAGATAATAAACATTTTCTTTTGGCTAATATTTCCTTGGACTAATTTAGATGCATGACTTCAGCTGATTGCAGATATGCAAGCAGAAAGGCAAAGGGCAACCAGGGGCTGACGCACACGGGATGTAGGTGAAATCCAGCTCCCAGTGACTTCGGTGTCAGTACTACTAGAAGACACCAAGGGTCAGGATTTTACAACTCATTTTTAAAACCTCACTTGACAAACAGCGTCTGCTTCTGTGCCTGTCGAAGCCAACACAAAGGCTCCCATTGATTTAATAAGGTAGATCAGATTAACCAACCCACTGGTTAGGCTTTGTACACACAAGGCCATTGTGCCTCCAATTATACTAATGCAATGCCTAGATAAATCCACCCGTTACTCAAATCAGTGTAAAAAAGGGCAGAAATCACTCTCAATTTCCACAGTTTTTTTACATCCTGGGACAAATCTGCTTATTTAATTCAGGGAGAACAAAGAGATGGTGTGCAACTGGTGACTTTTGAGATGCCCTCTAATCCCCAGGGAAGGAAGATGCAGAGAGCAGTAAAGCCACTTGGCAAAAAGTAACTTGTGGCCAACTGGTATTGTCAAATAAACAGTAAATACACACTACTGATGCCAATGCACTTTTGGCTAAGAGGCTACACTACTGCACACCATGCTGCACAGGTTTAACTGGTAACTCACTGAAAGCAAGGCAGTAATGAAGACCTGCTAATTACGGCGTTACCAGAGCCGGGGCGTGCAGGTCAGCCTGGCAGACCTCACTGCTGTGCCAAAGGGTGCCGGGGTGCAGCACGCGGTCGGTTACCTGTAAATGGGATCCATAAAGAAGGGAGTCGGTCGGGCGTGCTGCAAAGAGGCCTCCGACGTTTTCCTCTGCTCGAGGTCACCTCCTTTCTTCTCTCCAAAGACGTGGTTTTTCCGGGGTTCGGCCTGTTTTGTGCCGCTGGCTCGACTCCTACTGCCCATGCTCAGATCTAGAGGCTGGTCCTGGCTTGCCGCAGGCGGAGCTGCTGGCTTTGAGGGTATGGGAGTAACGGGCTTCTCCTCCTTACGCTTAGTGGTGAGGTCAAAGGGAGACTCAGAGCTTCCCTTTGGGATCTTCTTGAGTTCACTGGGTGATTGGGGCTCCACTTTCAAGGGTAACGGTCTCAAGTCTCTATCAGGAAATGGATACATTGATTGAGAGAATGCTGGAAAAAATGGGAGGGGAAACATGGAAGGGTAAGGTAAGGCTCCAACTTTTTTGTCTTGCAGCCCCACAAGTCCTGTTGAACCAAAGTATTTTTCAGCAATAGAAGCAATAGCCTTTATAGAATCATTCACCGCTCCTGACACCGCAGTCTGCTCCTCTAAAGATGGTGAGAAAATGGAATGATTGCTGTGTTCTTTCTTATTATTTATTGAAGCCAAACTCTGCAGAGAGCTTACTTTGTCTTTGAACATTTTACCATTTTCTTTAAATTTCTCTTTCTCACTTTCAATGTCACTTTCCAGATCAGAGCCAGAGGTGGTTTCCAGGTCACTGCCACTGGGGGTACTGACATCGTCAAGGTCACTACTCTCTGACTGGTCACTGAGTTTCTCATGCGGCCTCTCTTCAGAGGACCTCTCTGGTTGAAGCTCCACTGGCTTATTTTCCCCTACAGATGGTTGCTTATTTAGTGCCTTCAAAATATCCTGGGTGGCTGGCAGTATCTGAGGGTTGGTCATGAGGGGACTTTGACTTTTGTTTGTCTGATCTGCGCTTGGTAGTCCTTTAACAGGAGAGCTAGTAGGTAGCAAAGGTGGCCTGTGGTACAAGCCTGAAGGAAACAGACCGGGGAAGCTAAAAGAAAATCCAGGAGCTGTTGGAAAGGTAAGACCAGCAGGATGCCTATTGGCTCCAAAATAGTCAGCAAGGCCCGGATTTGCATGATTCATATTAACCATGGACGTTTTATCCATAGCTGGGGTTCCAGGAAGTGAAATGCCTTGGCCAAAAAATCCTCCTGCTGCAAAATGGTTCTTGCCCTCACAAAATCTCCTGTGTTTATTTAAGGAAGACGTAGTGCTGAACATTTGTCCACAGTCTTTGCACTTGATTTGGGTTCTGCAATCAGCATGCATGCGCTTATGACGACAAAGGTTTGAAAACTGAGTATAGGATTTATGGCAGACCTCACCTGTATGTGAACAACAACAACAACAAATCTCAGGCTTTATGATAATTGCCCCCACCCTCAAAATTCTGCAAATAAAACCATTTTTTTTTTTTTACCCTCCAAGTGTCTATCAGGAAGCCATAAGAAGTCTGGGTGCACAAAAGATATTGTACTATTCCAAAGCAAGGCATCAAAGGAGACAAATGTCTAAAGATAGCACCAAAGAATCCCTCCAGCAAACCAGAAAAGGTGTGAAGTGACTAAAAGATAACATTTTTGTTCCTTGTTTGCTCCTCGCATTGCAGTTTTGCACATCTGATACCATTATTTTGCATTGCATGAGCACCCAGAGCCCTGCCAAGAGCTGTGGCTCAGTGCTTTGACACTGTACAGAGTCACCGTGCTCCTGAGCAAGCACTTATGCCTCCAAATGATATCCATCAGTGTCACTATGCACACGAGAAGTTAGTCATAAACATTTGCAGGACCAGGAATGTGACAGACAGACCTGCCTGTCAGAGCCTTTGGCCTGCAAGACCCAAGGATATGACAGAGGTGAAGGAGAAGACAATCAGATATTTCCAAGTGCATACTATTATCAACAAGCATCAATTTCCATTTACAATTAATGACGTTAAACTCATGAAAGTCTAGGCTATAACTTCTAGAGTAACCATAGTCCGGTACTCTCACATGCCCAAAGCATTTCTATACATGTAATGCATATGGTGCCTTGGAAGCCATAACTATGAATTCCACATCTTAACAACTTTACTAGTCTTAATTTTGCATATTTGTCTCTTGCACATGAAAAAATACACTCTATTTCAACAACATTTTCCTTTAAAATTGCAGCTGTATTTATTTGCATGTCCGATACTTGGAACAGCTCAATGGATTTCCTTTCAAACTCCTCTGGGATGAGAGCAATTTCAGCCTCGAAGCACTTGGAGAAAGCCTGAAGGCCTGGAGGGGAGGCCTGAGCTAAACTCAACACTCACTGTGCCACAGCATGGCTTCCAGACTGCAGTTTTGGTAGCAGGAGGCTGAAAGTGTCTCCATCACCAGTATAGGGCAAGGCACACAACTACCGTGTGAGTGAACCATGCTGCTGAACCAAGTGGGATTTTTTTTAGCTCTCTAGAACAGCTTCATAACACATTTCTTTTCCTTCTTGCATTTAACTTAGGTTACCATTTTAATTATTTTTCTTCCTCTTTTCCCACCCTCTTGGCCAGCATGCTGGTCCCCAGGCTGTGCTATGGGCTGTGCCCTTTCAATACATTAACATTTGTCAGCACCTCTGGACTAATTTGCTTCTAATGGTATCAGCTCTAACTTTGTTTAAA